ATTTCGTAGTGAGAACTACCGCTGAATGGAGCGATTGCTTGTGAGTGGTACACACACACCACAAGACATCACCACTCAGAGTAGTGATCATTAAAAACGGTTCCGATCACCGCTCGCCACTGTCTACCGCGAAGCCCCGTACGAACGACATCCGCTCGTTCGCCGTCAACAGCGCACGCCAAGGGTGCCAGAAAGAGCGCTACCCGTCGCCGTCAACGGCGCAACGCCAAGCGCGTCCGCAAGAGCGCTACTCGTCGCCGTCAACAGCGCAACGCCAACGTGCCAACAAGAGCGCTACTTACAGTCGCCAGCAGAGCCCCACTCACAAGGGCATTACTCATCGGCGTTAACCGAGCGCCTCTCATCAGCGCGTCCAAGAGCGCCACCAGAGCATTACTCATCGGCGTTAACTGAGCGCCTCTCATCAGCGCGTCCAAGAGCGCCACCAGAGCGCTACTCATCGGCGTTATCAAAGCGCCACTCACCGGCACGACCAGAGCGCAACTCACATTGTAGGAGCGCTATATACCGACGCGGCCAGAGCACCGCTTACCGACGTTTGCAGCGCGCCACTCAGCGGCGTCAGCAGAGCGCTGCTCACCAGAACTGAAGCCACGCCACTACCGCCTAACGGGCCCCTAACGGGACAAGAAGCCGTTACCCAGCCACTGCAAGTGACGCCACCAAATTTTGCCAAGTGTTATTTGTTATATGTTCTTTATAGAAATTAGGTAAATTAAATTAATAAATTGCGATTTACCAGAGCCCCGAAAATACAAATTTATTGTAACGAACCCTGGACACGGCGAGTATACCCCAGCCTTGTAGAAGAAGCGGCGGGGCGAATAAAACGCTTCGTTACAATTGGCGCCCGAGCAGGGACCCTTGGTAAATCGTACACGTGTAAAGGAAAAATTATTATATGTTGGATACGAACAAAATGGCGGAAGTGATCAACACAGCATGGCTAGATGATATACCTAAGGAGCAACTAGTATCCATCGCACAGGAATTGGGAATCGAGTGCGCGGGTACCGCCCGAGAAATACGCAAGCGCATAACGGCGCTGGCGGCCAAGGCGCACACCGACCCAGAGATCCATGCCAAATTCCAGGCGATAGGAATCACCAACAGAGAAAACGAGGCTGCCTCGGAAGGCGAGGATGAGCAGAAAACACCGACTAAGTTCATGGAAAACACAACAGAGCCAGTTGGCGGTACCATCATACCAGCACCCGCTGCCACCACACCAGCACCAGCCACCAATGCACCAGCACCCGCCGACAACAACCATCGGGCCGAACGCAGGTACAGCCAACCCTGCAAACCAAGCACCGACCCACACGTTTGCACCTATCATCGACCAGGTAAGGAAATGGTTGTAAAATATGACGGTGGGCGAGACCCGCTAGTGTTTGTAGAGCGGTTGGAGGAACTGGCCGAGGTGTATGCCTTTAACGTGGACCTCCTGCCAAAAACCATGCCCGAGTTGCTGTGCGGCACCGCTCTTCACTGGTACCGCAACAACAACGAACACTGGAGTAGCTGGATAACCTTCAAGCGCGACTTCCTACGCTTCTTCCTGCCAACTCGGTATTTCGAACGCCTCGAGGACGATATACGGCAGAGAAGGCAGCACCCACGGGAGAAATATAAGGAGTACGTAATCGCGATACAAAACCTGATGCGACATGCCGGGTATAGCAGCGAGCAGCGTTTGGAAAGAATTTTCCGCAACAGCCACCCCGATTACTTGTTATA